GAATAAGCAGCTTTATCATTTCTTCTTGTGAATATAACATCCTATGTCAGCCTTGGTTTGGTTTGGTTTGGTTTAGTTTTTATGTGTTTGTCTCATGAAGTTTTATTTTGTTATCAGAAAAAAAGAAAAGAAAAGAAAAGAAAAGAAAAGAAAAGAAAAGAAAAGAAAGAGGGATCACTATTCATAGTGTGTGCATTTCCCCTACTTCTGCTTCTGGTAAACAGGTTTGGGAGGTTTTTGGCATTGTTTGGAAAGCTTGCAACACCTGTTCAAACCAAAAGGACAAAGGAAATATATGAGTGCACCACAAGGAGCAAAACCAACTAGAATCCCACTATTAAGTCTCTTCAAAACTTCTGTCTGTCCCATCTTAGAGAAGGTGGTTTCTTTAAGGCTATCTGGTGAACTTATGGCAAAAGGTGGGATTTGAAACTAAAGATTTGGCTAGCTTGGTTAAGGAGGTTAGAAAGGAAAATATGCACCACAATCTTGGAACAGTAAGAGATCTAAGGGGTCTCAGCATCCCCCTTGGGTTTGGCTCTCTTGGAACAAAGGTCACTGCAGGCATCTGGTGTTTCCTGCTACATTAGGAGGGGTTTTCTACACATAGACATATAGGCTGAGCAGTTGGAAGAAACCATGGCATTAATATTCCTATTGATCCTGTCTAAGCAGGAGATAACCAGAGCATGCACCACTCTGGCCAGACGGTCTGCGGGCAGGGAGGGTCTCAGCCTGCGTACCAGATGGAGCTGGTAGACAGCTGCCCTGGACACAGAATAGACCTGCCCCTCCATGGACAGCTGTGAGTCCAAAATGACTCCCAGGCTGCGCACCTGGTCCTTCAGGGGCACAGTTACCCCATTCAGGACCAGGGAGTCCCCCACACCAGCCCGTCCCCTGTCCCCCAAGAACAGTACTTCTGTTTTGTCGGGATTCAACCTCAATCTGTTAGCCGCCATCCATCCTCCAACTGCCTCCAGACACTCACACAGGACTTTCACCACCTTCACTGGTTCCGATTTAAAAGAGGTAGAGCTGGGTATCATCTGCATACTGATGAACACCCAGCCCAAACCCCCTGATGATCTCTCCCAGAGGCTTCATATAGATGTTAAAAAGCATGGGGGGGGAGAGAGAAAGAGAGAAAGAGAGAAAGAGAGAAAGAGAGAAAGAGAGAAAGAGAGAAAGAGAGAAAATCGGGGGATGCATTAGGAGAAAGCTGGCATACAAATAGAAAATCCTATTATCTGATTCTGCATATTAGTTGTTGTCTGCTATATTTGTGGTGAATACTGAAGCACATCCACTAAATACAGTTTTCTTGTTCTGGTACCAGATTCCACACACCCCCTACAATATAGAGAACTTGAAATGTTTGTAATATTTAGCAATTAAATGTACATTTTATTTAATATTTATTTCATAAAATTTATACGTTGCTTGATTGCAAGAAAAGAAAAGAAAGAAAATCAACCCACAAATTGGTTTACAAAAAGATAAAACAATAAAGCCAAGAAAAATGTACAGCCCGACTTCAAATCATATAAAGTCAAAGGCCAAGGTCCCTGCTTGTTTACTTAGGACCATCGATGTTCATGGCACTCTATAGATGCCGGGGGGGGCGGGGGGCGACTACCATGTGATATTTGTTTTGTTTTCCTCCAAGAGCAGTCAGCAGCGGCACCTGCAACCCCTGCCGTGTGATATGCCAAACCGCATTTGAAAGAGGGTGCAATTTCAAAAGCAGTAAGTGTTGCAGCACGCGAGAGGTCAGATGTTTCAAAGAAGAGAGAAAAGGCTTTAGAATTCCAGTTTGGTTAGATACAGCTTCCTTGTATGAACCTGAGAAGTTCCGGGAGATTTCCTTCCCATTGTCTCCAAGATTCATGAATGGGACATGCCACTGATCATCCTTCATAGAAGGGTTTTCACGCTGTCTCCTCTGTGGCCCCAGCAGAAGGTGGCGCTCTCCCGCCCAGTGCAAATGGGGTAGCCAAGGAGGTACCTCTGTCTGTGTGTGCATGCATAAAGATGTATAGGAGGGTAGCTAGTAAGGGAGCCCAGGTTTGGAAGGGATCTCCTGTGCCATGGGGTGCCTTGGCCACCCTTGTATCCCAGGGTTTATGTTTTCCAGTGGAGTCATAACATGCCTAATGAAGAGGTCCCCCTGCGTAGTCACAAAATACAGCCATCTGCTTACAATATACTTACTGGTTGTGCTGGTATGCAGATTTGCATTTCTGTCTCGAGTGGGGATGTGTGTGTGTGCAAAATATCTATATACAGATGCACCACATTATGTGTTCATTCTGAGATCCGGCAACTGTTTGTGGCTTGGTGCCTCAGTGCACCCTCCCTTGGGTTTGTGACGTGGCGTTTCTGCAGCTAAGCATGGTTGCTTATGCCTATCTGCATGTAAATTGCTTTTTTGTCCGTGAGACACTTGCACTGCCTGAGCCGGGACGAAGCCTGGTGTGTGTGCACTTTGTGGGGCATGTGAATGTGGCACTGGCACAGATGCCAGTCTTGACACAGATGTTCACGCTGTGTGGCCGTTTGTGTGCCTGAGCACCCCCCTCCCCTGCACCTTGGCACTTTGACGGAAAAACTCACAGGCCCTCCTTGGTTCCCTATCCGTGTGTCAGGTGGGCCTCTACTGGTTTTGCATCTCCTGTTGCACATAGTTACACAGCTGTGTAAACAAGACAAGGGAGGGTGTGAGCAAGTGCCTGCCTGTGTCTCCTGCTGGATGTGCCTGGGCCTTCCTTCCATTCTCGCCTGTTAAGTTACCTGACACTAACGGTGCTTTACTGGGTTGCCATGGCAATGCCTGCCTTCTTGGAGGTTACAGCCTGGATAACAGGGTTACGAGAACTTCCCACAGGCTCTCTCTCTGGCAGCAACAGGTTCTGAGCAGCTGAGGCTGAGAAACCCAGAGGAGGGAGGGGGTCTTCAGCAGGAAACGTTGAGGGAGGTTGTCTGATGGGACAGGGGCAGCAGAAGAAGAGAGGGGCAGGGGTGGCTGCACAATCTTTTGTCTCCATCTAAGCAGCAGTCCACCCTCAGAATCGTATGCAGACTCTGGCTGCCCTGTGGGGATCATCACATCAAAAGCTCCTCTGATCTCCTCTCTTCCTTCCCTTCCTTATTCTCTCTCCTGCGCTCCCTCTTCTGCAAATTCATCCCTGGCGGCTGTTTCTCCAGGTTCCTTCATGGTTTTTTAAGAGGGTACAAATAATTTTTTCACCTTCTCCTCTGCTTCTTCTGGTCATAAAGTGATGAAGCTATCAGTCCCCAGATGTGCGCATACACCGCAAGCAGCCATGCACACTCCCTCGTCCCAAGCCACACACTGTGATCACCCCCCCATAAAACCCACAGCTGGGGATGAGCTAATTGTCTTCCAAGTGTGGCACTGCCCCCTCGTGGCATGTGAGCAACTCCACAGCCACCCCTAGGAACTTTGTAGAGAGGAGAGCGTTGTGTAATCGTTGTGACAGCAGAGCGATGGAAACAGAGAAATGCTTTCTGCTTCAGCGTCCCAAATATGGTGAAGTGCGCGAAAGAGATTCTGCACATGCAGCCGCAGACGATGTCTCGCTAGCAAGCAATGGAGGAGAAACTGTGCCTTAGTCTGGCGGAAAGAGAGGAAGAGCGGCATTTCTCCGAAGCCCCTCATTTGAGCTTCATTTTTAAAAACTATTCCTTTTCATTATATCTCTTTTGCTCCTGATTTCCACCCTGGGCTTCTGTGGCTGCCCGGAATGGGTACAATGGAATCTGCACTCTATTGTACGCCCATCAAACTTAACAATGAAATGCATCCGAACAAGCTGTGTTGTCCTAGCTTTCCCCAAGATTGCCTCAAAAAGCAAAACGCAGGAGGCAAGGAGAAGATGCATCTTCCAGTACTAGATCTGCCAGTATTGTCCCTGGACATTTCAACATCAAAAGATGAAAATCCAAAAGGCTTCTTCTCAATCCCCTGACACTCTGCTGTTAAAAAATAAACAGCAATTTGTGGTAAGACACAGCCTAAGAGGGACATCTCTCTCTCTCTCTCTCTCTCTCTCTCACACACACACACACACACACACACACACAGCCACCCCAGACATTCTTTTTATTGTGTATTCACGATGATATGTGCTTGTGGTGATATCCACACTTTCAGTGTTTCTTCCAACAAGGGCAAGTGCTGGAACATCCTGCTGAAATCCTGTGACTTGCCACAAAAGTTCTGGTTTATACTTTGTCTTTCTTTCCTTGTGCCCCTCCAGAGGGCAATAAGATGGTAGCATTTGGGATCATGGAACAATAAATTGGGCAGAATGATATGTAGACGGTCCAATATGCCCACCCCTAAAGCACTCTTAGTGCATCCATGGCATGTTGCCATCTGGAGAAGCCCAATCATTGCACATGCAGAAGATGATGGACAGGCTGTTGTGAATTACTGCAATGCTGGGAGAGCAGCAGTGTAGAGAAGGACAAGCAAGGCAGGCCCCATGACAGAGGGAGCTCCGCCCTTCAACACCACAACTACCAGTCCTTGCTCCCAAGCATCTGCTGTCTGAGGTTGCTGCCTCACTCTGCCCAATGGTAGGGCCAGCTCTGACTGAAAATTTGGAGTAACTGTGCTCCAAATTTGCTACCTGAGGCTGGGCTTGAGAGCTGAACATATTTCCTTGCCAAAAGTGGAAAGTTTGTAACCTAAAATGGGAGATGGAAAATTGCTTGCATGAGATGCAACAGTTGCCTGCAACATTTCTCCGGTGAAAATAGGGACATCCAATTCCATAATGATAATTTTACTAGTTATACCCCACACATCTTACTGGGTTGCCCCAGCCACTCACTCTTGGCAGCTTCCAATATATATAAACATTTAAAAACATTAAGAAATTCCCTATACAGGATTGCCTTCATACGACTCAGGAGTTGGATAACTCCAAACCCTCCAACATTTATCTGATGAAAATAGGGAAGTCCTTTTTAAAAAAAATAATAATATTTATTATTTTTCCAAAAACTTAGACATTAAAAAGAAAAACAATACAATACAACACAACAAATCAACAAAAACAAAACAAAAACAATAAAATAAATCAAACAATTTCGTTATCTCATCTTTCATTCACTTATTTCCACGACCTCCTCACACCTCCCTTTTTGTATTCCACTTCTGTTAATTATTTCAGCAATTCCTTTCCATCTTCCTCTGTTTTCTATCCTATAATTATCTTAACTCATTCTAACCTTATTTTTTCCTTTAATGCTCTATTAACCTATCTGTACTTAATTCCTTATAACATTTCTACTAAAGCCATATAACTCTGAGATATCTTGATTTATTGCTCAGATAAGCGTCCGGCACGCTTCCCCCATTGCGTAGGCCTCTGCATTCCAAAGGGCACATTCCGATACTTCTGAGCATAGCAGAGTTCGTCAGCGGCTAGAGGAAACCAAAACACTCCAGTGCATTCTTCAGTGTGCTTAAATGAAGTCCACTCAGGATCTTGGCAGCTAAAAGCAGCTTTATTTACAGCAGGCTATCCATTATCTATCACAGCGAACAGCATCGCGAAAACACGTCCTCTCTCCTCAAAAGCGAAAGTAGAGAGACAGAACAAAGACTTTAGTCTCTCGGAACTGACGTAGCTCCCCCCTCCCAACTGTAGGCAGGGCGTACAGTCTGAGCTGTTTAACCCTGTAAGCTCAGGTTCTCCTCACACCCCCTCTCGCCCTGCGCTACTGTGGGGAAAGTGAGTACAGAACTTACCCCCAACTCCAAACCACCACAAAACTCCCCATGACGCTGGAAGCTTAAAGGTTTGGTAAATCCATCGGCCAGGTTACTGTGACTGGCACAGTACTTCAGTCGTATCAAACCTGACTGAACACTCTGACACACATTTTGGAAACGTATGTCCAGATGCTTGGTTCTCGCCTTAAATTGCGCAGATTCAGCCAACTTCAAACAAGGCTGATTGTCTTCCCAAACCGTGATGGACAAGCTACAATCCCCATAGATCTCTTGCACCAAGCATCTATAGAACTCAAGTTCTCGGCACAAGTCTGACAGTGCACTGAATTCAGCCTCAGTAGAAGACAGCGCAATGAGACTTTGCTTCCGGGACTTCCACCCAACTAGTGACTTCCCAAACTTAATCACCAACCCAGACACAGACTTGCGGTCCTGCGAATTCGCCCAGTCACTGTCCGCATAGCATGTGAGCTTCGCCTCACCTTCAGCTGGCAGCTTAAGACAGAAGTCTTTGGTATGCTGCAGGTAGCGCAGTACCCGCTTGATACCGTGCCAAGCACTCACACTGGGCTTTGACGCTTCCCTACTTAGCAGGTTGGTAGCAAAGGCAATGTCTGGTCTGCTCCATTGGGACAGATACAACAGACTACCTAGAGCTGACTGAAAGAGCTCAGCATTCTCAAACTCAGCACTCTCTGCTTGCTGGCTATCTTTCACGAAGTTCGTCTCCATGGGTGTCCGAACTCCTGCACAATCGGACATTCTGAACTTCTCCAGCAACTGCTCAATCTTGCCTTTCTGACTGAGCAAGAAGCTACCATCCTCAGTTCTCGCTATCTGGACACCTAGGTAGATCTTTACTGCACCCAGGTCCTTGAGCTGAAACCGTTTCCCAAGCTCTTTGGCAAACTTCTGCACCTGTTTGTCTGCCTTTCCAACATGGATGATGTCATCAACGTAAAACAACACCAGTTCCTGTGAGTCTCCTGATCCTCTAAGGAACAGGCAACTGTCAGCAAGACTCTTCCTGAAACCTAGCTTCTCCAAAGCTTCGTTCAGGCACAAGTTCCAATTCCTGGCCGACTGCTTCAGGCCGTAAATTGACCTGTGAAGTTTCCACACAGTACCTCGCTCATTGCCCTCAAACCCAGGAGGAGGAAGCATGTACAGATCCTCCTGGAGGTCTGAGTTCAAGTAAGCAACATCCACATCAAAGTGATGCACCAGCAAACCTCTTTGTGCAGCGATGGCCAAGACCAAGCGTAGAGACTCACTCCTACACGTGGGCGCATAACTCTCCGTATAATGCAACCCCTCTGCTGCGTGAATCCTCTCGCCACTAATCTGGCCTTATACTGCGGTTCTCCTGTCGCTGTGGGCTTAAGACGGTAAACCCAGCGGTTACCCACTGCCTTTTCACCCACCGGCAACTTCGTGAGGGAGAACACACCTAGAGACTCCATTGAGTTCATCTCCTTCTGCATCGCCTCATGCCATTTCCTGGCTTCTTCTTGAGGCAGTTTCTGAACATCCTCAAAACTCTCGGGTTCACACTGTGCCATTCCGACCCACACACTAGTGACGGCAAACCTTTCAGGAGGTTTCCCTTGGTCGTCCACGTTGAACGGCGCAGCACTACTTCAGGAACCCCTCTGACCCACTAGGGCCAGCTAGAACGTCCTTGGCATCAGAGAGCTCCCCTCTGACTTACTGCGCCTTCTGGACTTCTCAGCCGAACCTGTGGGGGAAGATGGAGCACTGCCTGCACTGGGCCTGGACTCTGAGCCTCAGTAGCAGGTTCAACCTCTTCCTCTCCTTCATCAGCAGAGTCTAGCAGACTCTCTGACAGGATGTCAGGGTTCCCATGTATCCTTGCCCAGCCACTCTGCTCACAGAATTCAGCACTGTTGCTGAGCAGAATCCTGGACTGATTCCCTGACGGATAAGCAAACCTCCACCCCTTGGTCCCTGGCTCATACCCACAAAAAATCATCTTTTGGGACCTGGGTTCACCTTTCTTGCGTTTGGCCTTTGGTATGGGGACCCAAGCCTCACAGCCAAAAACGCGGAAGTAGTGCACTTTCGGTTTCTCGCCATGGAGCAAGAAGTACGGTGTGTCACCTACCACTGAATTGAACGACCTGTTCAGAACAAAGTTGGCCGGTCGCCAAGCCTCCCCCAAAAGCGCTGTGGGAGCCCGGCATCAAACAAAGAGCTGCGGACATCTCCCCTAGAGTCCTGTTTCTGCGTTCCGCGATCCCATTCTGTTGGGGACTGTGTGGAGAAGTCAACCTGTGTTGAATCCCCTTTTGCGGAAGAAACTTTGCAGTGCAGACCCGGTGAACTCCCCACCGCGATCGCTCTGAAAGTTTTGCACCCGTGTGGAAAACTGCAGTTCCACAGCCGCAATCCAGTCTTTGATTAGCGGCGCAGCTTCATCTTTGCGCCGAATTGTGAAACACCAAGAATTCCTAGTATGGTCATCAATCAGAACCAGCGAATATTTGGCTCCGCCCAAACTGCTCACAGAAAACGGTCCACACAAATCTGCATGAATTAATTGAAAAGCCCTAGTGGTCACCCTCTCAGACCTAGGGTATGTGCACGTTTTCACCTTTGCGGACTTGCACGCTCTGCAATCTAGAAATTTAGCACATGATTTCATTTTGCACCCTTGCGTATACTCTGGGATCCTTCTCACCGACCCCCACGAAACGTGTGACATACGTCGGTGCCAGAGATGGGCACACGCATCATGAACTGGAACATTGGCACACTGCGCTTGAGCCTCCTCCGTGTCATCCGTGTCATCTGGACCTGCAAAAGAAGCATTTATCACAAACAACCTGTCTTTACATTCGACACTGACTAGGTGCTGTCCATTCTTGGAAATAGAACACTTATTGTTCTCAAAACACACTCTGTAGTTTTCAGCAAGAAGTGCACTGACAGACAGCAACGCGCAGGACAGTCCTGGAACAACAAAAGCCTGAATTGAGTCCTGCAAGAAAGAACAAAACAGTGAGCCACTCTGCGTGAGTGGGTGTCGAGTCCCATCTGCTAAACAGACAGTCTTCCCAGATTTTACAGAGGTGCAGTTCTCCAGGAATCCACCAGATGGCACCAGGTGATGAGATGCTCCACTGTCGACCACAAAAGCCAGCTCAGCATCCTGTTGACAACTTTTGACTACAGCCATAGAGGCAGCCAATTGTTTACGTTCAGTGTCTCTGCCAGCTGCCTTCGGCTTGCCTTTCCCACGCTTTGAAGAAGAGCTCTTTATCTGGTTGCTACGGGAGACGGCCTTGGGCTGTTCCTCCACTGGACATTCTCTCACCAGATGGGAGGGGGAGCCACAGCGATAACAGCGGCGACGCGTAGCAACAGCTCTCACAGCTCCCTCTTCAGCCATTTCTTTGTTCCCTGCACCCCCACCTTTGGGTGCACAGCCTGGGCCTGCACGCTCCCCAGCACTCTGGTTGTAGGCCTCAACATCACACGGCCCCTCGGAGACAAAGCAGCTACTCCCAGCTGTAACTTTAGGAACATGGCCAGCCCCCTCTGGGCTCTCAGCTTCCTGCCTGCTCTCGGCTTTCTCCAGGCCCTGGGCTCCTGCTGAGCTATCACACAGACTCCTCAGCACCTGCCAGGCGGCCTGAGCCGACTCAATGCCCTCCAGGTGGGGCAACAGCATAGCGTCCACGCTTGCTCTCAACATGCAGAGCTCCCTTTGCATTCTCAGCTCTCTATCTTCCAGGAGAGCAGCCTCCCATTCTGCTCCTCCTTCTTCAGCAGCAACTGGCATGGGTGGGGCGGGCTCCTTCTGGGCTATATCCCAGAACCCTGTGGCCAAAAACCACCCCCTGACTCTTCTAACCCAGATATCCCAGGACTGGGTTGTGAGCTTTTCAAACGGGACATCATAAAAGTCCTGGAGCTCAGCCATCTCCTCCCCCAGTGCTTCCATTGGGGCTGCTTTGAAGTACTCACGCGTACCAGCCAGCTTCAAAGGAGAGGCCTCTAGTGGCTCCTTGCAGCACACAGCTTTGCAGCCAGCTTTGCAGCTTTTCTCCCAGGCGAAGCCTCAAAGCAGGACTTTTGCATTCCGGCAGCAAAACAACAGCTTCTCAGTTTTCCAGCCTTCTTAAGCACACAGCACATCAAAGCAGGCTTCCTCTAATTGCATTACCTGCCCCCATAACCTCTGAGATATCTTGATTTATTGCTCAGATAAGCGTCCGGCACGCTTCCCCCATTGCGTAGGCCTCTGCATTCCAAAGGGCACATTCCGATACTTCTGAGCATAGCAGAGTTCGTCAGCGGCTTGAGGAAACCAAAACACTCCAGTGCATTCTTCAGTGTGCTTAAATGAAGTCCACTCAGGATCTTGGCAGCTAAAAGCAGCTTTATTTACAGCAGGCTATCCATTATCTATCACAGCGAACAGCATCGCGAAAACACGTCCTCTCTCCTCAAAAGCGAAAGTAGAGAGACAGAACAAAGACTTTAGTCTCTCGGAACTGACGTAGCTCCCCCCTCCCAACTGTAGGCAGGGCGTACAGTCTGAGCTGTTTAACCCTGTAAGCTCAGGTTCTCCTCACAATAACTTCATTCCAACATTTTTCTAATTCATTAATTTTACAGTATTTCTGTAAATAGTCTTTAAACTTTTTCCAATCTTCTTCCACCGACTCTTCTCCCTGGTCTCGGATTCTGCCAGTCATTTCCACCAGTTCCATGTAGTCCATCAACTTCATCTGCCATTCTTCCTGGGTGGGCAAATCTTGTGTCTTCCAATACTTCGCGATGAGTATTCTTGCTGCTGTTGTTGCATACATAAAAAAAGTTCTATCCTTCTTTAACACCAATTGGCCGACCATGCCCAGGAGAAAGGCCTCTGGTTTCTTCAGGAAGGTATATTTAAATACCTTTTTCATTTCATTATAAATCATCTCCCAGAACGTCTTAATCCTTGGGCATGTCCACCAAAGGTGAAAGAATGTGCCTTCAGTCTCATTACATTTCCAACATTTATTTTCGGGCAAATGGTAAATTTTTGTAAGCTTGACTGGTGTCATGTACCACCTATAAATCATTTTCATTAAGTTTTCTCTTAGGGCATTACATGCCGTAAATTTCATACCTGTGGTCCATAACTGTTCCCAGTCAGCCATCATTATATTATGTCCAACATCTTGTGCCCATTTAATCATAGCTGATTTCACCGTTTCATCCTGAGTGTTCCATTTCAACAGCAAGTTATACATTTTTGACAAATTCTTAATTTTGGAATCTAGCAATTCTGTTTCCAGTTTTGATTTTTCCACCTGGAAACCAACTTTTTTGTCCAAATTGTATGCCTCCATTATTTGATAATAATGGAGCCAATCTCAGACTTTATTTTTCAATTTTTCAAAGCTCTGCAATTTTATTCTGTCTCCATCTTGATCCAGAATTTCCCAATATTTCGGCCATTTGGCCTCCATATTGAGTTTTTTCTGTGCCTTCGCTTCCATTGGTGACAACCATCTTGGGGTTTTCTTTTCTAACAAATCTTTATATCTTATCCATACATTAAACAATGCTTTTCTAACAATATGATTTTTAAACGCTTTATGTACTTTTACCTTATCGTACCACAAATATGCATGCCAACCAAATACATTATTGAAACCTTCTAGGTCCAACACGTCAGTGTTTTCAAGTAGCAGCCATTCTCTCAGACAACAAAAAGCAGCTGATTCATAGTAAAGTTTAAGGTCTGGCAGGGCAAATCCACCTCTTTCTTTAGCATCAGTTAATATCTTAAATTTTATTCGAGGCTTCTTGCCCTGCCAAACAAATCTGGAAATATCTTTCTGCCACTTCTTGAAACAATCCATCTTATCCAAAATTTGTAATGTTTGAAACAAAAACAACATCCTTGGCAGCACATTCATTTTTATCACAGCAATTCGGCCTAACAATGATAACTTCAAATTTGACCATATTTCTAAATCCTTTTTCACTTCAATCCAACATTTTTCATAATTATCCTTAAATAGATTTACATTTTTAGCAGTCATGTTAACCCCTAAATATTTCACTTTCTTAACCAGCGTTAGTCCTGTCTCTTCCTGGAACTTCTCTCTCTCATTCACAGTTAAATTTTTCTCTAAAACCTTAGTTTTCGTCTTATTCAGCTTAAAACCTGCTACTTGCCCAAATTCTTGAATCAGTTCCAATACCCTTTTTGTACTAAATTCTGGTTCCTGTAGGGTCAATACTAAATCATCAGCAAATGCTTTCAGTTTATACTGTTTAGCTCCCACTTGTATACCTTTGACCTCTTGGTCCTTTCTTATCATGTTTAACAAAGCCTCAAGGACCGATATAAAAAGCAGTGGAGAAATTGGGCAACCTTGTCATGTCCCTTTCTCAATCTTAAACTCTTCTGTCACTACATTGTTCACAATTAATTTTGCCTTTTGTTCTGAATAAATTGCACCTATACCATTTTCAAAACCTTGACCTACCCCCATACCCTGTAGATTCTTCTTCATAAAGCTCCAGGAAATGTTGTCAAAGGCTTTCTCCGCGTCCACAAATATCAAGACAGCCTTAGTATTAATATTCACTTGAAGTTTTTCTAAAATATTAATTATATTCCTCATATTGTCAGACAAATGTCTGCCCGGGAGAAAGCCCGCTTGATCTTTATGAATTTCTTCTACTAACACCTTTTTTAATCTTTTGGCCAAAATGTCTGCAAAAATTTTATAATCCACATTTAGCAGCGATATGGGGTGGTAGTTCTTGAGCTGTGTCTTTTCAGTCTCTGTTTTCGGTATAAGTGTAATGTAAGCTTCCTTCCACGACTCTGGTGCCTTCCTTCCTTTCAATATTTCATTACAGACTTCCTTCAATGGTTGCATTAACCAATCTTTCAAAGATCTGTAATATCTTGAAGTCAAACAATCTAGTCCTGGAGATTTACCTAATTGCATGTTCTGGATAGTCCCTTCCACCTCCTGATCCGTTATTTTGTAATTCAACATTAGTTGTTTTTCTTGAGAGATTTTGTGTAGTCCATTTATTTTCAAAAATCGATCAATGTCCATTTCTTTCTGCTTCTCCTGTGTATAAAGTTGTTTAAAATGCCTCTGGAAACACTTCCTAATCTCCACTGGGTTCTGTATATTTTTTCCTTCCACTTCCAAATTCGTGATAGTATTGAGTTTTTGTCTTTTTTTCATTTGCCAGGCCAACAATTTCCCACATTTATTTGCCGATTCAAATGTCTTTTGCCTCATCTGTTTAATCTTCCATTCTATTTCCTGATTCATCAGCTTCGCATATTGTACTTGATATAACTTTATCTCTTTCAGAATCTCCTGTGACTTTGGTTTTGCTCTCAGTTTCTTCTCTCCTTCCTCTATCTTTCCCAGGATTTTGTCCTTTTTTTTAGTTCTGAGTTCTCTTCTTAATTGCATTCTGTTGTATTAGGAATCCTCTCATCACCGCTTTGCTTGCATCCCAAATTACTCTTTTTTCCACTGTAGTGTTCATGTTTATCTCAAAGTAATCTCTTAGGGTTTTTTGGGCCTTCTTGGTCACCTCTTCATTCCTAAACAAAGTATCATTCATCCTCCATCTGAAGGAACCACTTGGCATCAATTTCATTTCCATCTTCACCACATTATGGTCAGAACAAGTTTTGGGGCCAATCTCCACTTTGCTGATCTTCGGAGCCAATCCCCTGGTTACCCAGATTTGGTCAATTCTTGTCCATGTCATTTTAGCCTCAGAGAAGAAAGTTCCCTCTCTTCCCAGAGGGTTCTTCATGTTGGGATACTGCCAGGAGACAAAGTCCATCATGGCCCCAAGCCGTCTGCCGGACGATCCATCGATCTTCCGTAGGCACGCAGTATCAGCAATTAGCGACATGAGTTTCTAGAAGATATCTTGCCACATTCCAGAGCTCATGCACACTCTTTATCAGCAGATAATGCACAGCAAAAGTCGCACTCAGGAGAGCATTATTTACAAGTTTATTCAGCGTTGATCAGAACACAGAAAAACATGACTGCCTGCTTTAGTGTCTACGACACAGAGAGAGAAAACGAAAGCAACAGAAAACATAAACATCCTGTGAACAGAAAATGCGCAGACTCTGACTCACAAAGCCTGCTCCCTTTTAAGGTGGAATGGAAATATCCTAACATCCTCCCCCTTTCCGTGTAACCTGTAGTACCTGTGGTTCAACCCAATTGCAACCTTTGTACGTAAACCTTAAGTTGTTCTCTGTTAACAACCTTAGACAACAGTTCAGCAGGAATTTCATTTCCTGGCATGTAGGACACCTGAATGAGTCCTTTCTGAATACACTCTCTTGCACGATGTAGCTTAATTCTCAAGTACTTGGTCCTTTGCTTGCAACTCTCCGAGTTCAGCAAAGCCAAACAGGATCTATTGTCTTGATACACTTGTACAGGACATTTCACAGAAACTCCGATGTCCTTAAACAGTTGCATCAACCATTCACAATCCATGAGTGAAAATGACAGAGCATTGAGTTCCGCTTCACAGGAACTTAGGCTCACTGTCGTCTGCTTTTTGCACAGCCAGTCAAACAGACAGTGGTTGTACATGTAGCATACTCCAGAAGTGCTTGTACCATCCGTGGTGTCAATTCCAAAACTTGCATCTGCAAAGATTTCAAGACCTCCAGTCTTCTGACTGGTGAACCTCAGCCTGTAGTGCAAAGTCCCTTTCAAATAGCAGGCTATGCACTTCAGAGCTTTCCAATCCTGAACAGTAGGATTGTTAGCATGTCTGCTAAGCAGGTTAGTGCTTACAGCTATGTCAGGTCTTGAACATCTAGCAATGAAATTCAACTTGCCTAGAATGCATCTGTACAGCGTTGTGTCAGAAAACGCTTCAGCAGTACTGTCTACCTGGTAACCTGTCACCATCGGTGTGTCTGCTGGGTTTGCATCAACCAAATTCAACCTGGTTAATACATCAGCAATTTTCTGTGTTTGGTGTACCAGAAAATTACCTGCTTGGTCCCTCTCCACCTGCAGAGAAAGATAGTTGGATACCTCACCAAGATCTTTCATGTCAAAGTGCTCCTTCAGTTGAGCTAGGGTGCTTTGGTACAAAGCCTGATTCTTCCAAAACATCAGAAGATCATCAACAAAACATAAACAATACAGTTTGTTTTGCCCTCCTCCTTGACAAACACACATGGATCAGCTTTGCCCTGGTGAAAACCTAGAGAAAGCAATGTCTCAGTGAGCTTTGTGTTCCAACACCTGGCACCCTGCTTGAGACCATATAAGGATTTCCACAGTTTACAGACCATTCCCTTCTGTATCTGCATCCCGTCTGGTGGAAGCATAAACAGCTCCTCCCCCAAAATCCCGTACAAAAAAGCTGTATTAATGTCATGATGGGAAACATGCAGTTTCTCCTCCGCAGCAATCTTGAGCATCAGCCGAATGCTCTCAT